CACTGAGCCGGTTTTTTTTTTTTTTTAAAACAAAAATCTAGCTTGGCACCTGTGGCTCAAGTGGCTAAGGCGTCAGTCACATACACCTAAGGTTGTCGGTTCAAATCCAGCCCAGGCCCGCAAAACAACAATGACACTGCAACCAAAAAATAGCCGGGCGTTGTGGCAGGCGCCTGTGGTCCCAGCTACTTGGAAGGCTAAGGCAGGAGACTCGCTTGAGCCCAGGAGTTGGAGGTTGCTGTGAGCTTTGATGTCACAGTACTCTACCCAGGGGGACAACTTGAGGCTCTGTCTCAAAAAAAAAAAAAAAATCTGCAAGATCTTTTCAGTTGATTCTTATGCGTGCTAACTAAAGCTGAGAAACACTACTGCAAATTAAGGAAAACCTTCCAAACTGTATTCTTCAGCAATATCCTAGGCTTTAGTTATTTATTTATTTTAGATAAAGTCTTAGTCTGTTGCCCTGGGTAGAGTGCTATAGTGTCATAGCTCACAGCAACCTCCTACTCAGGCTTAAGGATCCTCTTACCTCGGTTTTTCTAGTTTTAGTAGAAACAGGTCTCCCTCTTGCTCAGGCTGGTCTCGAACTCAAGAGCTCAAGCAATCCACCCAACTCGGCCTCCCAGAGTGCTAGGATACCGTGAGCCACTACGCCCAGCTTAGGCTTTACTTTTCAAGGCCATTTCCTGGTATCTGGTGTGTTACCTAAAAGTACACCCCAGACTCAGCACCATGTGGTATCTAGGTTCAGAAAACCAAGACAATTGCTATTTTTTTTTATCCTAGTTCTTCCCCAAAGAACTGGCATTCTTTGAGGCAGATGGTATTATAGATATGAGTTGGGCTCAAAATGTTCCTTGTCTATACCCTCAGGTTTTAACTTTTCCCATTCCCAAACTTTTTTCTACTCCACTTCACATCTCACAAACATGAGCTTAGGATTTAGAATGGTTAGAAGTAGAGGTTTGTGATATAAGAAGCTAAAAATAAAAATACAAAGCAAAATCTGGTAGACTTCAGGAAAACTTTTGAACTGCATTCTTTAGCAATATCCCTGGCCTTTCTTTCTTAGGGCTCTTTAAGATGAGTAGGCTTTCATCTGCAGTGAGTTATAGCCCGACTTGGCCTTGGGTAATGATAGAATTGACTGAGCATTGTCATTCTTTGGCATTAACTTAGTAGTACTTACTGATAGCTCACCACCAGAAAAGGACAAATTCCTCTGAAGCCTAGGCTGAAATAGAATATAGAGAAAAATAGCATCTTCCTAGATTCTGCAGCAGGAAGACTTTTGAAATGAGTAGGAGAGGAGGGTAGCCATAGAGCAACCCACGCCTGTCCCTGAGTGGCTGGACTGGTTTCCTTTCCTGCAAGGATTGCATGTGCTCTTGCCCTGGAGTGTCACATGCATGCCTCACAGCAGAGGGCACTGCTGTATTCTCCAAGCAGCCAGCTGAAGGCTGCAGCCTCTGTTCCTAGCTCCTGCCTATCAAGAGGGAAACTACCTCTCAGGCCTTATCCTTAAGTCCTTGAGCTCAGAGCTCAGAAGGGCTTGGGGGAATACAGAGAGAAAAGCTGCTGCTACATTAGGTAAAGATAACTGAGGGAAACATGCTGTTCCTCCCTTCTACCCACACATGTGCCGCCTATTCTTCTCCCTGCCACTCAGGAGTTCCTAGTAACTTGAGGAGGAAACTATTCGAAGCATCTCTTCCAAGTGTAAAGAGAGGCCCCTGACTCACTACCTCCCTTAGTGGATCATTTCGTCATAATTCTCCCCAGAAAAGTAGAATTAGGCACCAACATAAGAGGAGATTGATGTACATGTGTTCACATGTCAGTAATCTTAAGTAGAAATCCTGAGTTGCACAATAAATACTAGGCTAAGGGCAGCGCCTGTGGCTCAGTAAGTAGGGTGCCAGCCCCATATGCTGAGGATGGCAGGTTCAAACCCGGCCCCGGTCAAACTGCAACCAAAAAATAGCTGCACGTTGTGGCGGGTGCCTGTAGTCCCGGCTATTCAGGAAACTAAGGCAAGAGAATTGCCTAAGCCCAAGAGCTGGCGGTTGCTGTGAACTGTGACGCCACAGCAATCTACCGAGGGTGACAAAGTGAGACTCTGTCGCAAAAAAAAAAAAAAACTAGGCTCAATTAGCTATCTACTTTGTGGAAAATTGTATTTCCCCAAAAGGCAACATTTTCCCATAAGAACCTCTGCCATATAGGGACTGTTCTTTGATGTTATTTTCAGGAATAATAATAGTACCTAACACTTTCCAGGTACTTTATGTATGTAAGACTTCTAAACTCATTTTATGTATATAAATTAGAGGGATTAAATAACTTGTTTGAAGTCACACAGCTAATAAATGGTGTTGGGATTTGAACCACAGCAGTATGGCTCCAGACTATTGCTATTGCCATATCTTCAACAAAGAACAATGTGCTTTTCTAGGGTTGGCACTGTATTGGATGTTAAATCCATTAAGAGCATCAGTTGTAGGTTCTTGAGAATTGGGAGCTCCTCACTAGTATAGTGATGAGTATTTAAAAAATAATATTTGACGGCTCGGCGCCTATAGCTCAACCGGCTAAGGCGCCAGCCACGTACACCTAAGGTGGCGGGTTCGAATCCCCAGCCCGGACCCGCCAAACAACAATGATGGCTGCAACCAAAACATAGCCAGGCGTTGTGGCGGGCGCCTGTGGTCCCAGCTACTTGGGAGGCAGAGGCAAGAGACTCGCTTGAGCCCAGGAGTTGGAGGTTGCTGTGAGCTGTAATGCCACGGCACTCTACCCAGGGGGACAGCTTGAGGCTCTGTCTCAAAAAAAAAAAAAAAAAAAATTTGACCATGAGGTTTGCTTGGGCTTGGAGATGAGGTTACAGATAAACACTAAAACCCCAGGCTAGAGACCTATGAGGCTATGGAAGGGGTTTCACCCTGTACTGATTAGTATTTGTTCAACTTAATAACAAATGTTAATCCTTTTATCTAAAAACTTCTGGTTGGCTCGACACCCGTCGCTCAGTGGTTAGGGCGTCAGCTACATACTCCAAGGCTGGCAGGTTCGAATCCAGCCCAAGGCTGCTAAATGACAACTGCAACAAAAAACAGTCAGATGTTGTGGTAGGTGCCTGTAGTCCCAGCTACTGGGAGGTTAAGGCAAGAGAATCGCTTAAGCCCAAGAGTTTGAGGTTGCTGTGAGCTATGACGCCAGGGCACTCTACCCAAGGTGACATAGTAAGACTTGGTCTCAAAAAAATAAAAACTTCTGGTTGTCAGGGTGGTACCTGTGGCTCAGTGGGCAGAATGCCAGCCCCTGAGTTCAAACCCGGCCCCGGCAAAAAAATAGCCCAGGTGTTGTGGCAGGCACCTGTAGTCCCAGCTACTCAGGAGGCTGAGGCAAGGGAATCGCCTAAGCCCAGGAGTTGGAGGTTGCTGTGAGCTGTGTGACGCCATGGCACTCTACCTTGGGCAATAAAGTGAAACTCTGTTTCTACAAAAAAAAAAAACCTTCAGGTTGTCAATCTCAGCCCAGGACCTGGCTGACCTGTGCTATAGAGAAGGGAGGAATATTTATTTTATCAGGAGTGTAAAGTGAGAAGCGTGGGGTATTCCCTCCCCATTCAATTCAGGAAGTACCAATTTTTTTTTTTTTGAGACAGAATCTCACTATGTTGCCCTAGGTAGGGTGCTGTGGTGTCATGGCACACAGCAACCTCAAACTCTTGGGCTTAAGCAATTCTCTTGCCTCAGCCTCCCAAGTAGTGGGACCACAGGCACCCGCCACAATGCTGGGTTATTTTTTGGTTGTAGTTGTCATTATTGTTTGGCAGGCCTGGGCTGGATCTCAACCCGCCAGCTCCAGTGTATGTGGCGGGTGCCCTAGCCGCTGAACTATAGGTGCTGAGCCAGCAGTACCAATTCTTTTAAACATATATGTCTGGAGTTGTCAATTCTAAGTACAACAGGTATTTAAATATGACACAATTCCTGCCTTCAAGAAACTGATAGCCAGAAATGGTAGTGCATTCCCATAGTCCCAGCTACTCAGGAAACTGAGGTGGTAGGATCCCTTGAGCCTTAGAATTTGAGGCTCTAGTGAGATAATCACACCTCTACTCCAGCATAGGCAACAGAACAAGACTCTGTTTCTAAAGAAAAGAAAAAAGAAGAAGAAAAGAAACTTAAAGGGTAGAAAATGGTTCCCTCTGTTCCCATCCCTCTGTAAGCACTCTGGTCCAGTAGTACATTCAGCAAAAGGAAAAAATACGGCAGCCTCCAGTTCCAAATCAGCAGGTTGGTGGTGGGGGCTGGCTAATTTCACAGAATAACACCTATAATCCACCTGGGGTCATATTAATCAGTGCTTGCTTTGTGCTAGGCATAATATTAAACCCTTTATCATATATATACATATATATATATATATATATATGCTTGATCCTCACAACTATTGTATGCTGATATCATTATCCTTAATTTTATAGATGAAGAAATGGAAGCACAGAAAAATTAAGTGACTTTCCCAAAGTCACCCAGCAAATGTTGGAAATGGCATTTGAACCCAAGCAGTCTTGTAAAGCTTGTGGCCTGAATTATTCATTATACTCCTAACATCCTAGATTTAGGATAGCAGCAGGAATTAAAGCTCAACAGGCAGAGAGGACTTGAGAGGAGGCAGATTCCATATAGCCTAACAATAAGAGGAGAAATCAAGATTACAGATGAAAATGGAGTAAGATAACTTTGGACCCTTGTGCCCATTCAGTGGGTCGTAAAGCCCTCCACAAGGCAGTTTGAATCTTAATCATTTTTCACCTAGCACAAAGCTGGGCCTGTAATCAGTCTCAAAAGACATTATTGAATTGAATGATGGCTGAGTAACATCATCTTTGTAGAAAGGACTGGCTCATTTGTCATTATCCATAAGGTTCCCAAAGGCAATGCTGCTTATCTAGCAGGTGTTGGCAGTCTCAGAGAACATGGTTGGTGGGGAGAGGGTGTGCTAGAGGGCGTCAATATTAGTCTTAGAGTCATATTTATTTGCACAGGCTTCCTTAACCCTCCCCTAGCCTTGGTTACCAATTCTCATTAAAGGCCCAGTGATAGCAGGCTTTCCACTCCAGTGCCTGGACAGAAATATGTATGCTCCAAGCAATTCACTTTTCTCTCACAAAAAAGGCTGACCTCTTGCAGGTAGAATTGGGCATTCCTCACAGCCCATTAGCTTGAAACTGCTCTTGCATTCTTGGTCCATTCCATGGGGATAGCATTGAACAGATACTTTGAATAAGCACTCAGAGCAAATGCCATTTCCCACCACTCCCACTCCAAACTTCATTTGGCTTGGTTGTTGGAAGTGGGAGAGGGCAAAAATGATACTTTTTTTTTTTTGTAGTTTTTGGCCAGGGCCAGGTTTGAACCTGCCACCCCTGGTATATGGGGCCAGTGCTCCATTCCTTGAGCCACAGGTGCCGCCCAGAAATGATACCTTTTGACCACTCCACTTTCTTTTACTTGAGATCTCTTGAAGAGATCTCTCTTCATTGCCCAGGCTGGAGTGCAGTGGCTGTTCATAGCTCATTGTGGCCTCGAACTCCTGGGCTCAAGGGATCCTCCCACCTGAGCCTCCCAAGTAGCTTGGACTACAGGCACCTGTCACCTTGCTCAGGAGCCCTTCCACCTTTATTGGCCTGTGGATCTCAGCCTTTTCTACCTAAAATTGTTACATTTTGCTTTATAAATTCCTTTTTGAATTGATAGCCAGAGTGAGTCTGTCAGTTCCCCAGCTACAGGTTGCCTAGCCTTCATGGAGGGGAGGGCTTGGTAGAGGTACACAGAGGTGAGCTAGAGTTGGGGGGAAATAGGCCCTGTACAAAAGCTGAGTAGCTGGCTTGGCACCCATAGCTCAGTGGTTAGGGCACTGGCCACATACACTGGGGCAGGCAGGTTAGAACCTAGCCCAGGCCTGCTAAACGACAATGACAACTACAACAACAACAAAAAATAGCCAGGTGTTGTGGTGGGCGCCTGTAGTCCCAGTTACTTGGGAGGCTGAGGCAAGAGAATCACTTAAGCCCAAGAGTTGGTTGCTGGAGATGTGACTCCAAGGCACTCTACCTAAGGCAACAAAGTGAGACTCTGTCTCTAAAAAGAAATAACACAAGCTGAATAGCCAGATGTTTACTTTCACAGCTCTCCTGTAAACCTGGCAGGGCAGATAGAGATGAAAACGAAGCACAAACTCCATTTAAAGTGCATTACAGCTCAGGAACCAGCTCCCCCTGGGCAGGAGAAGTGAGGGAAGGGCACAGAGGCCACATCATTCTCCTTCCTTATCTAGAGCCACATGTCTCTCTCCTAGCTTTGTGAAGGGTGATTTACACCCCAGCTGGAATGACTCTCTTTCTGTGCTGATTACATCGGCAAATGCCCTCCAGAGGCCACAGCAGGATGGCCATATTCAGAAGCAGCAGCCAATAAATCTCAGAGGTTTATACTGCAATTCTCAATACCCTCCCTACTGGCCCGTTGCCAGGCCAGCTATGGGAGTAAGGAGGGGGTGGGTGTTGGAGGTTTAGAGGATGAAACCCTCCACTTCTTTTCACCACTCTCTTCTCTTTCCGTGCACTGCCCAATTTTCATTCCCCGAGTCATTCTGTCTCTGTCTTTAACCTGGAATCTGGTGAGAATCCAGCCCAGACCTAGGCCTAATAAATTCCTTATGGTTAGGAGTAGATACCTTGAGTTGTGGGCACAGCTGTGGTTTCTACCTGTTTCACTCTGGTAGAATAGCTTGCCCTCCCATCATCTGAAAATGATGGGGCTCCTAAATGGTCTCTCCAGTCCGTCACCTTCCTCAGTGATCTCTGGCTCAGGGAAATCTCCACTGTTTAATCTGAGGAGAGTTATCTTTACATACTACTCCATGACACCAAAGAGGCTGAATTTGGAGTCTGGTCTGATAAACTGGTAAAGATCCCCGGATCTGGTGTCAGGTCTGCGCTCTCAGGGAAGTCACCCCATTTGTCTGCGATTCATATTTGCAGAATCCGAAATTCGTAACAACCACCTATAAGAGGAAAATGAGATCACAGATGTGCAACTTCTAAGAGAAAAACATACTAGAAATGCAAGTGCCCTTGTGCCGATTTGTTCAAGTTTTGTTACAAGATTTCACTTGTGGAGATTGCTGTTGTTCTTTGGTGTGTGTTTTGGGGGAGGCAGGTTCCGGAAAATGGGAAAAGGTGTTCTTTTGGGGGGAATGTTTGGGCACCCTGCGGCTGGCGATTCTCCCGTTGCAGCTCCACAATGTCTTGCTAAGCGAAGTTGGCAGCAGGTGGTTAGACTCTGGAAGAGAAGCACCCTCTCCACACCCGGGCGGGTACCCCGTCCGCCCCCACGCCGCCGCTCTGGGTCCAGTGGAGGAGGCGGCGCGGGGCGGACGCGCGCTTTGGAGGTGGAGGGCGGCGCCCGAGACCCTAGTGGGAGAGTGTTGGCGTGGTACAGGGAGGGGCGGGAGGAGGCGGTGGGAGGCGCAGCAGCCGGAGCCCCGCTCGCGGAGCTCTAGTGCAAAGAGCCAGGGGAGCGTGGCACGCGGCGTCCACACCTCGCCATGGAGCGCCCACAGAGCCCTCGATCGCCGCGGCCCGCGGTCCCGCTGCTGCTGCTGGTGCTGCTGCTGCCGCTGCCGCTGCCGCTCAGAGCCGGTGAGTGGTCCGTGCGTACTCAGAACTCATGGGACAGGGCCGTAGGGGGAGGTGGAGGTGAGAGTGTAGGCGGGTCCCGGGTCACAGCCGCCCAGAGCGGGCACAGTAGCCATCCGGTTCCCGGGCACCCATCCATCCCAGCCTGGGGAACTGGAGGAGGAAGCCTAGGGAGCCTGCAAGGGGTGACTTCTGTGCCTAATACAGTGTCCGAACTGATGTAGATTAAGGGCGACCAATGGTCTGGCCACTCAGGCATCTCCTTGATGCCAGTTCCCCCTCGTCCCTCTTTTAAGGTAGGTCTACAGTCACAGAACAACTCCTAACCAGACCACTACCAAGACAACATTTCTAGGAACTAAGGAGAAATCTCATCAGAAGCAGAAATTCCATTTGCTCCATGTGGGCTTTATCCCATCCACTTTAAGGACTGAGATAGCAAAAACTAGGTACAGATGAAGAAAGAGAAGTTTATTAGAAATGACTTGTCACAAATTAGGCTTATAAACTACTGCCCAGAAATTGCTAGCATCATTATTTGGTTGTCAACCTACCGATTCTCTCCCTCTCTTTAGGATATACTTAATTATTACTTTAATTAGTGCAGAAAACTCGCTATTGGGCAGGATGGCCTTTTCCCAGCAAGTTGCCCAGCACAGTGCCTTGCCTGTGGAAATAAGTAGATCTATAATAGATGTTTTGTGGAAGACGTACCGGGTAGTTCAAGGCCTGGTTTTAGAAACATGCCATTACTCCAAGGAAGGGCAGCCTGAGATCTAAGATCCCTATCCCTGGAACTGTGAGAGTGGGCTGAGTGCATGGAATCTCCTTGTGGGACTCCTGTCCTGAGACAGAGACCGCATACCTTGACCTAAAACCCCATCTGCAGAGTAGTTCTGCAGAAAAGCAGTGTTGGTAGTGAGACAGATATGGAAGGAAGGAGGGAAAATACTGGCTCCATTAGGAAATCAGGGCAGAAAGACCATCACCCGTCTGCTTTGATTGTCCAGGAAATTCAACTAATCTTAAAGATATGGCTGGCTGCAGGTGAGGATCAGGGATAAACATTATACACCTTCCTCATTAACTAGTTCAATAAAGCAGAATGGGTAACATCTATTTTACACAGTAATACTTGACAGCAATGGTTTTTGGTTAAGTAGCCTTGTTGGAAATCCTTAAAACAGTCACCTAGGAGCTGCTATGCGGGCTGAGGGCTCCCTAAAAGCAGAAATCAACAGAGAACTTGAACAATTGAGTAGAAAATACCACTGCCTAGCAATAAAAGAGACGTCCAATTCATAGGGAAGTGGTATTATGTACTGAAAAATCTGGATTCTACCCTTAACACTTGCTGTTCCCCTGGTGAATGTTACTTTTCTTTGTTCACCCATCCATAAAATGGGTACCTGACCTATGGGCCTCATGGGGAGAAACAAATGACAATTTTTTTAAATTATGTTTTTGTTTGTTTTTGAGACAGAGTTTCATTTTGTTGCTCAGGCTAGAGTGAGATGCCCCCGGCCTAGCTCATAACAACTTCAAACTTCTGGGCTTAGACCATCCTCCTGTCTCAACCTCCCGAATAGCTGGGACTACAGGAACATGCCACAATACCTGGCTAATTTTTCTATTTTTAGTGGAGATGGAGTTCTGCTCTTGCTCAGGCTGATCTCGAACTCCTGAGCTCAAATGATCCTTCTGCCTTGGCTTCCTGGAGCGGGAGGATTACAGCTGTGAACCACTGTGCCTAGCCACAAAGGAGGAGCTTGTGCCCTGAAGCATAACCTGATCTGGCCCACTTTGCAGTTACTCATTCTCTACGTACCAAGAAGCAGAAAACCAAATTCCAAAGCCAGGCTGCTGTCTAGAATGAAATAGACATAGCAGTGGCAGCACAAATGAGGAGGTAGGGCAAATACAATAGCAGTGGTTCTCAACCTTCCTAATGCCTCCATGTATTTTTATTGTTGCAAAGGGGTGGAGACCCACAAGTTGAGAACCTCTACTAGTGGTGGGGGCTATAACTGGGAAAGGCATGATTTGTCAAAATGGGGCAGTCATTACTTAACTACAGTTGTTACATTGTGGGCCCAAGAGTTTCCATTTTTCAAGAGAAACTGAAAATCCATAGTTTTATGTGAAATCTGATTTTTTTTTACATGAATGTTTGAGCTAATGAAATCTAATTTTTAGGCTCAGCGCATTTATTGCTCAGTGGTTAGGGCACCAGCCACATATATCAGGGGTGGCAGGTTTGAACCTGGCCTGCTAAACAACAATGACGACAACAACAACAACAACAACAACAACTGCCAGGTGTTGTAGTGGGCACCTATAGTCCCAGCTACTTGGGAGGCTAAAGCAAGAGAATCTCTTAAACCCAAGAGTTTGAGGTTGCTGTGAGCTTTGACGCCACAGCACTCTACAAGGGTGACAAAGTGAGACTCTGTCTCAAAAAATAATAATAATAATTTTAAAATGTTGGCCACCAATTACAACTTTAAGAAAATATCGTGGCTCGGCGCCTGTGGCTCAACTGGCTAAGGCGCCAGCTACATACACCTAAGGTGGCGGGTTCAAATCCCCAGCCCGGGCCCGCCAAACAACAATGATGGCTGCAACCAAAAAATGGCCGGCGCTGTGGCGGGCGCCTGTAGTCCCAGCTACTTGGGAGGCTGAGGTAGGAGACTCGCTTGAGCCCAGGAGTTGGAG